CATATATATACATATATATATACACACGTATATATACATATATATATATACATATAGTTGCATATATACAGTGTCCCTGTAATCAGCTTTTGCAGAACGGGTGTTTTGTATTCGAGCCTTATCTCTTGCTATGCGTTTTGCCTGAAGAGCTGGAAGTAATGAGACAGCATTTGCAGTAAACCAATCAGGCTGTTTACGTGTGCTACGTCCAAATACACTGAGAGCACTTTCTGTAACTGCAGAACGAAGTCGAGACCAAGCAGCTTCTGGGTTACTGGGCCTGGTTGTTGTAAAATGTTCGGCAAGAAGTTCTTGGAACTTGGCAACATTCGCATCGTTTTTTGTAGAAGAGATATTGATTGCAGGTATGGGTCTTGGCTTGGAAGTATGGAATTTCTTTGGTGAAATCTTAAGCTTGCACCTCACTAGGGCATGGTCTGAGTTGCAGTCAGCAGAGTGCAAGCTACGGCAATGGGTTACACCACACAGCTGACGACGTCTGACAATGATGTGATCGAGTTGATGCCAACGGTGGGAACGAGGATGCATCCAGGTGGCATATACGACCCTTGAAGTATGTGCTGGCAACACAGAGACTGTGGTCTGCGCAAAGCTCAAGGAGACGTTGCCCATTTTCATTCATTCTTCCAATGCCGTGTGGTCCAATCACGTTTCTCCATGAGTTGAAATCAGAGCCGATGCGAGCATTGAAATCGCCAATAAGTGCTAAGTTATCTCCAGCTGGGATATTGAGTATGGTCTCACTAAGGATTTCATAGAACTCATCCTTGGACTCGGTACTGTCCATCAATGTAGGTGCATAGGCGGATATTATAGTAATGTAGCCATTTTTCAGGCACATTCGAAGTGTCATGAGCCGGGGTGAAATTGAAATAGGTGCTGAATGCATGAAAGTAGCCTATTATGAACAGCAAAACCAACTCCATGCTTAGGTCTTATGGTGTCAGGATGACCGCACCAGTAGAAGGTGTAATTTGCCTCGCAAACAGATTCACTTTCAGTAAGCCATGTTTCACTTTGAGCTGCAACATTTATTCCAAGAAGAGAGAGTTCAAGGTCAACCAACGCTGACTTTCTAGGTGAACGCGAGGTTCTGTCTGAGAGGAAGAGCGAACATTCCAGCATCCTAAAACTAAATTAAAAGAGGAAGTAGCAGGATGTCGACCCGGCCGCGCCTTCCTTGCACGCGAACCTTGCCGAGTAACGACAGCAATTTCCCGCCGGGAGATGACTCCCGAGTTACCAGCCGCTGAAATATATTATTACTTGTCATCATTTGCTTTTGGACGCTAAACGCCTGGGCAAGAAAGAGTGAGTGAATGCTTGCCCAGAACAGACACACACCTCTGGACCTCACAACAACCTGTTCCAACGGAACGCAGAAACGTGACAGTTGGGGTAGATGGAGGTTGCCCCGCAGTAGCAAGCTATGCCTAATAACCGCCAGCCGTTGTCCAATAAAGATCATCCGCCTGCCGATTTACTGTACAAGCCAGTGAAACAATATATTCATTGATTCCTGCCAAGATAACAGTTTACCAACCCCTGCTGCCGGGTTGGCAGGTGCTGAGCCCCAACACCAGGGTATATTTGATCCATATAAGTAGGATACAGTTTTACTTCGTGACCAGGATATACCTGCTCAGCTTGTCCAATACCCATGCCCTCAGACCTGTCTGGCTTGGGTGACCCTGCCAGAAGCATAAGCTTCCGCCAGCATAGCTCCTAGGGTAGGGGGACAATACTAAGCAGATTTTAGGTTATAGCTAATCGAAAGAGGCTATTGATAAAGTCACTTCACAGAAGACCAATAACCAGCAAATCTAGACTGAAGGTAATCAGAGGAAACTATTATTTAAGTTACCACAACAAGACCTACAGTCATATATACATGCATATATATGCATATATATATATATATATATATATATATGCATATATATATATACACGCCTATTGTGTAATGAAGTGAGCCTGTTCAACCATGAAGCCTCTGCAGTCTAAAGGTATATTATTATTTCATTCATTGAATAAGGGTTTAATCATTAATACCTTACGTGTGTATTTATTATTTAAATTATCTAGTGATTTTATGTAATTTAGTCAACGTTTACGATTGTATTTTAACAAAGTTTGATGTTGTATTCTTTTCTAGTTTTTACCATGTTTGTAGTTAAGTCTTACAGTTAATAGTAGTAAAGATTAACAGGTAGTAATAGGACCTATGTAAAACAGGTTTCAACGTAACAGCTACACATGTTTCATCCTGTATAAATATGTTCAACAATAAATAAATAAATAAGCAATCAAGCAAGTAAGTAAGTAAGTAAATAAATAAATAACAATATGTCAGGAGCCTATGATTTTGCACAGGGTTTTTCTACCGTCCATATTTGTAATATTAATAAATTGGTAATTCAACTTTTATATTGACGTTTTTCGTAATAATCATCACCACTATCATCATCTCTATCGTTGTCGTCATCGTTTTGTTGTAGTTTTTGTAACGCTCAGGAGAATTGATAATACTCTGTCATCTTTCTTTTAAAAGTGTTTTGTAATCACCATACAACGGTGTCTCGTGAATTTAGATTAAAGAGGACGCCCTACTCTTTAAAGGCGCAATTTTGTTCCTGCTGGGTTCTTGCTGGTTGCATGGAAAATGTGTCGTCGCTATTTTCTTTTCTGTTGATTGGTCAGCCTGGTACGTTCCGACTTTTATTTTCTCTTCATTCAGATACAGTATGGCATATATTTTTGGTATGAACATAAAAAAGAGCGTCACGAAGGCACTGATTATCATCGCTAGGGACATGACACTGACCCTAAGTAAAATGTCACCAACGAGAAAATAACTCGGAATAAAGCCAAGCCATATTATTAGAGTCGTGTACACGCTCATATTGATGAAACGCGACTCGTTATAGTTATTAGGCACTTTACGCGATACAAACGCATAAAATGTACAGCATATTATAAGAAAAAGGTTATAAGACAACGAGCCTACGAGTTCGATAAACGCAATTTTGCAAACGAGCACTGTCCTCACGTGTGCTTGGACGACAACGATGTCAGTGTCAGCACTGATTATTAAGAGATATATTCCGTTGATTAGCAACTGGAAAGAGAAATTTATTTTATTTTATTCATTCAATACAATTAACAACTTAATATAAAGCATTACTAATACAAAAATCAGCAAATTTACAAACATTTAAGAATAATTAGGTGAGCCAAGGAGCAACAAATGTGAAACCGCTGTCATCTTAGAGATGTGCTGTTCCCAGAAATGAACCATTGTGAGTAAAACATATCTATTAGACAACAAAATTTTTACTTAGATACAATATAAATCTTTTAAAAATAGTAGATAATTTCGAATCACTTATTTACAATGGTAATAAAAATCGAAATCATGATACACCTATTAATAGAAATAGAAAATAAAAATGTTTGTAAAATCGTTAAGGTGTCGCGTCGATAATCAAATACTGATTTTCAATATATAAGCCACTAGCGATGCCAGTCTTAGCCCCACCCAACATTTAAACCGTGCCATCACCTATGCTATAAGGGCTAACAGTGTTATTGTCATCATTATAGTTTTAGTTCTATAGACCTTTCGTAGAGCGACCCGCGGTGCCCAAACGTATAGAGCGCATGCCCTAGAATTTTTGCGTCCTAAATGCGATCGACTCTGTCCCGGTCGGTCGGGGAGAGCCCTCCCCCGACGGGGAGCAGACAATTCGTTGGGAGAAAAAGTTACGGGCCTATTTATGTTTTTTGAAAACCACCGGATGCGATATTCTGAATGATGATCGGATGGCTGATTGGTCGGTCGGATCGAGGAGCCTTCCCGATTGCGTCGGGGACTGCTACGCAGTAGGCCTACAACGATTACATTGAAAATAGTGTAGCAATTTTAAAGAAACCAGGCTTTAAGTTCTCGTCGGAGACGTCGGTCTCCCGTCGGGGGTGATCAGACCCTTCGTCGGGCAAATCCTGGCGTACATCTAGTTGCCTCAAAGTGCTTTTTGCTTATGTCCTTAATCAAGACACTTTATCTTTACTACAGCACTTCGGAACAGATGGAATCTCACCAAGTGGGAATATCACACTCTCACTCGATTGGTGCTACAGAGACTGGAGATAAGTTTCAAACTTATAAGCCTACCAAAGCCTGTTTTTTTCCTTAAAATTGCTACACTGTCGCTACAGTTTTTCAGTTCAATGCGTAGCAGTCCCCAACGCAATCGGGAATTCTCTTCGATTCGACCGACCAATCAGCATCACCGAAAGCTCTCGGCGACAGCGTGTAGCGATTGTATGGAAACCAAACTTAGTAGCTCTGGAAGGATTTACCTTTTAGACTGGTTCCATTTCTCAAAAATCGTTCTCTATCAATTCAATTGGCATTTTTGGGTAGAAGCTGGGATCCACTTGACTTAGGGTATTTTGACCATACTGATTACGAATCTGGTGGATCCCAAGCAAAATTCTTTTATCTAAGGGTCAAAATGGCCGATTTTATGCAAAATTACCGTACCCATTTTTGGGGGAAAGAAATCTATTTGGTTACTATTAGTCATACAGAGTTCATTTTGGTACCAAACTGTTCGGCAGACTCATGTTTCTATTTGCTATAATGGAACATTTCCCCAACAAAATACCATTGAATAAGTGGAAACATTCGATGGCTCTGAAAACAAGAAAACAGGTTTTTTTTGTCCAAAAACGTGTTTTTCGTAATACCTTTTTACTGGTATTTTGTTGGGGAAATGTTGTATTATAGCGAATAAAAACATGCGTCTTCCGAACAGTTTGGTACCAAAATGAACTCTGTGTGACTATTATAAGTAACCGAAATACAATGATTTATTTTTCTCAAAAATGGATAATTTTGCATAAAATCGGCCATCTTGACCCTTAGATGAACGAATTTCGCTTGGGATCCACCAGATTCGTAATCAGCATGGTCAAAATATCCTAAATCAAGTTTATCCCAGCTTCTAACTATTGCATCATTATTTTTGGGATATGAACCTGTCTATTTGGTTAAACTAATTCTACAACAATTGCACTGGCTGCCTGTGTATTATAGGGTCGTTTTTAAGATCCTTTTAATCACGTATAAAACGCTAAACGGTGAAGGTCCAGAGTATTTACGTAGTCTCTTGGTGTGGCATGTGCCATCACGAAATCTTCGTTCAGGTGATAAACGATTGCTGGTTGAGCCCAGGTCCATGAGGTCATGGGGTGACAGATCTTTTGTAGTTGCGGCCCCCCCCCCCCGTTTGTGGAACAGATTACCTCTTGAAATAAGATCAAGTTCGTCGACTGCTTTGTTCAAACGTGCTCTGAAAACACATCTATTTTTTGTTGCTCAAGGAAATTAATTTATTGTGAATTGATTTTTGTTTTGTTTTGTTCTTTAATTTGTTTAGTTAGATGCCCACAAAACTGAGAACACCTGTGAGTTATGTACTAGCCGGTCTTTGCACCTTAAATTGCTGGTAAACGGAAGCAGTGATGTGGGTTATGGTCGTTTTTCTGGTAGCCTTTAGTTTCAAAGGATAAGCTTTTTCATGGTTTTCACAAGCGCCTTGAGCACTTTAGTGGAGATGTGCGCTTAATAAATCTTATTATTATTATTATTATTATTAAACATGATGTGTGCTACCTATTTGATGACATTATAATCACTTACCTGAATAGCAATTAGCACACTCGCCATCACTATCTGTGACCGAGGACTAATGAAAATCGGTCTCTTTGTAGATGTCTTCCCAGCCCTAAAGATACGATAAATTCGATTGACTCGAACAAGTAAAGGTGCGTACGTAAACGTAAAACAGAGCATAAAACCTATTCGATTAACCAAGCATGTGGCCTTTGTCGGTTTGGAGATAATACTGAAAACGAGGCTGAACGACATGAATACTCCAAATAGCATGATACCACTTAGTTCTCGGCTTGATGCTTTGATCAACTTGTGTCTATTATATTTGATAAACATAACCAGGACGTATGTAGAGACGCCCAACCCGACTGAGGCCATTACCGAGAGTCCAATAGCCCACGCATTACTCCAGTGCATGTATATAGGCTCAAAGTGTACACAAGTCGATCGGTTCCAATCTGTCGTTTCGTTTTCTAGACACGTATGACATTCTGTATTTATAGGTATTTGGTTATCGGAGCAGTTGACACAGGTCCAACAGCAGTCATCAATCTCGATACGAATGTGACCGGCTTTGCAGGGTAGGCTGCACACTGATACTACAGGACTATCACTCTCGCTACCATTCACAAACCAAACCATTTTAGACTGGTTTATCTGCAGCCTGTTTGTGGACATGCTATTCCATGTGCCAACCTTCCTAATATGGTAACCGTTGCCCACTGATTGGATGGTCTCTATGTCGTATATACCTTGCAAATCACCACGGTCATCAAACTCGACCCAACCGCTACTTCCATGAAACGACATATTCTTCATATAATCAAACAAAACGTGTCCATGGTTTCCAGAATAGCCATCACTAATCATGGCGTCGAGGGCGAGTGCAACTATTTTCACTGCGTCTATGACAAGTGAAACAGCGCTTCCTTTACTAAAATCCTCGGGATATGCATCGGTACATTGAGTGGCGTTTCTCGAGTTTGTGTCGTTTTTGCAAGTGTCACTTGATAGGTAAGCGTCCCAGTATTCCGGAAACCAAGGATTCTTGTTTGTTTCGGGAGTCAGGGATTTGAAAAACTCTTCAAATTTCCCCACTTTCATCGTATGAAGATGGGTTTTTAGTGATCCTTTTGCTACGCCCAAGTTCTCCTCTCTGATTTCATATATACTCGCTCCCCAGCTATCACTTCCAATTATCTGATATTGTCCAACCAAGTCTGCTTCTCGTAGAGCGCCAAGCATACCGTTGGCTTGGTCTTCACGCAGAATCAAAATCAAAACCTTGGAGTTGTCATTAAATTTCAAGGTATGTATAACATTTTCAAAATCGCCTGGCAAAACCGCATTGTCACTGATCTCAATGTTGTTAGCAATACAAATAGTTCCATCCGGATTCTGCGATATTTCTTTGATTAAATTCTTAATAGCATTACGACCATAAGTGTCATCAGAATACAGGACAGAAATGTAGCGCCATTCGAAATACAACAACAAGTCAACAATTGCCTGCACTTGAAATCGGTCAGGTGGAACAACTCGCAAAAAATATGGAAAACGATTTGTGTCAGTAAGATCGTCACTTGTAGCAAAGTAACTCACCATAGGCAGGTGAATAATACCATACATCATAGCAGCAGACATCGCAGTCGCACTCCACTCTGTTCCGATGACGGACACGACGTCGGAAGTATTCGTTTGCGATGTGGATGTGCACAATTCTGAGCGGAAGTTAGTTGGTGGTACGAAACGCATAGCTTGAGAAAGTGATGTAGTCTGTTCACTGCACGTGTCATAAATCTCAAACCCAATTGTAATATTTGGTAAAATGTCAAATTGAGAATTTATTTTATCTATGGAGTATACAATAGCCTCAAGGCGATGCAAAACGCCTAGATCTTGGAGTTCAGTGCACTGACCATCCTCATCTTGCTGGTGAACGTCGGCTAACACGCCGATAATAACGTCACCATTTTGTTTGTAGACGTCATTATAGGTGTCTGGCATATGAGTTTGTGATGACGTTTTTAGAAGTTGAAGAATTATTAAAAGCAAACATTCAAATGATCGTAAGTTGAACAGGTAATTTGTTAAGGCCGTCATGTTCTCAGCATTTTATCTGAAAAAAAAGTATTCAAATAGAAGAAGTCAGTATCGTAAGCCGTTTTCGTATGTCGTTGAATTATTGTATGATTTTATTTGTGAGGAAATATACTGTCTCTTTTTTAGACTGAGATATTTTTTCTTGGTAAATGAACACCATCATGTATACTTTTCTTTGGCAACACTTCTGTCAGATGGCTTCCATGTTTCAGAGATGTGTTGCAAATTTATTCACTGTCACACGGGTGGCAACGGAACTCTCCGAATTATGTCACAGGTACGATGATGATGCGTGTGAAATAAAATAACATATTAGTATAAAACTTTTTACCAAAAAATAATATGGTATGTGAATAACGTAAATAAAATATAATCACATTGCGATATGTACAGTAATTCAAATTTGTAAACTAAGCTGAAATTATTTAATTCTTGTTGGAATTGTTCCTCATTCATTTTTTTAAATTTTTATTTGACAATAATAATAACAATAACAATAATAATAATAATAATATAACGTTGTAATAATAAGATACTGCAAGATACTTTGACTTAATTGATACATTGATATTTATTCTTACAATTTAGTCAATTATTATTTTACAACCGAGGCATCGGTGGATCTAAATTTCTGTCTCTTATACACATCTAGATGTGTATAAGAGACAGGTCTCTATGTACCGGGATAGAGCTAAATACAAAACAAACGAAGGAAAACTTGGATTTTTTTTTACACTTGAAAATTTAAAATGAACTAGATACATTACTATGTTCAACAGCATATGAACACAGTCAGATCACTCCTTATAAATTTGAGCTCACTTGGATTATGTTGAAAATTTGACATTGGAACTACACTCGACCTATCTATCAGCACACAAGTGGTAAAGGTCTTCTGTAAGACTGTGCTATGCTATTTGTGAGAGAAGTAGACTTTAATCAATTTTTTTGGTGGGGGAGGGTGTTGACCTAATGATCGCTATGCGTCCTATACCAAAAAGCTGCCAACACCCGATGTATAGGAGGTGTCACTGGTTCTGCTAACCAAGTTTGATTGATATCGTTCCAATCGTTCGCCGCTAGCAGCATTTAGAAACGTCGCCAGAAAGACCCGAAATCCCTTAACACGTCCATAAAGACCTTGCCCCGTGCCAATGGATATGTGGAAATGTCTATACTATACTGTGCTAAGGTATTTATGACAGCAGCAGACTTTAATAATTTTGGGGGATTTTGATCCTAATAACACCTATGACCCCAAGTTGTGGTCACCCGTCACCGGTTCTACTAAGTTTGATTGAAATCGGCCCAATCGTTTGCCAGTAGCGCTTTAGAATGTTGACAGAAAAACATAAGAATACAGTAACCCCTTAAAGACTTTTGACCCCAAATCCCTGAACAACATAACGGCTCTGCATTATGCTAATGCATAGCGTTTGGAAATGTTGCCAGAAAAAGAAGTAGAAGAAAACTGAAAAATGGTTGCCAGAGAGCTCTTATTCATAGCTGATAATTTCTTCATTCTGAAGTACCGTAACAATTAGGCCAGGGCTACCATCTTATTATTATTCTTGATTAACACGTGGTCTTACGAGGTTTTCTAAACGACAGGAAACTGGTTGCACTGCTACGTAGTCGATTTTCTCAAGATCTACTTGGTCTGAGACGATCATATTGGTGGATGGTATGAGTTCGGGGATTTGATAAGTCCTAATTTATTGTCTAACAGGTGGTTTGAGTCGAAAGACATTTCTTAGTGTGGGTTACCTTTCTATAAATGTTGACTTTTTTTAAGTTTGACAACTGGTGGCACAATGTCAAGCCCTTACTACTTGATATTTATATTTATTCAGATGATCTGTCTACTGGGCAAATTTTTAAGCTTTTTTTGGTTATCATCCATGTACCAGTACCAAAACAGGGTTTGGATGTAATATGATCCACTTGACGTCTTTTATGTAAGCATCGTTGAAAATAGGTGAAAAGAAGATCATATGAACCAAGTTGCTCCGTGGATTTGATTTTAGTACAGGCTCTGGAAGATAAAGTATGGGCGGTTCATACACAAACTGAACAATATGATGATGGCAGTGAGTTCAATAGGCGTCCTGTACTAAATGGTTTACTTATCTTCGAGTTTGACGGGTAAAAGTTATTGCTACTTTTACAGTTACACTACTGAATGTGGATGAGACACAATAGAATACATTATACAGTTTTGGAAATACAACCAATACTGCTAACGGAGAGGATAATTAATATGTTGTCTACTTATGTATTTCTTGCACATCTTCTTGTACATGAATGAATGAATGAATGTTTGACGTTTGAAGAACATGAATGTTTGAGTCTCGGACAGGTTTTTTATTTATTTTAAATAAGAACTGTTGAGAGTTTTCTATTGAGTTTTTCGGTGTAATATTTTTGCAATCTATTAATTCTAAAGTAGATAGATGAATCCTTATCCAATTACCGGTAGGCCTATTAATTTTGTACTGTATATCAAGGTAAGCATAGCTTGAAGAATCACCGTTTGAAAACATTTCAATACAATGATTAATCTTCAAATATCAAATAATTATTATGTACATTATGTGGTAAACTAACATATATAGACATAGAAGAAAGATGAAGATGAACATATTCAGTAACTAAACAATGTTGTTATAGTAAACAATTAAAGATGTACTGGCCCATAAAACATTTTTTAATCATAAAAATCACTTGCATCATGCGACAGCCACACAATCCAACGCAACACAAATCCAACAGTCTACTAAATCTTATGATGATAAAATATCATTTTAATATAGGCCTATACGATACAGTGAATGCATACACAGGGGGCAGCCGCAACATTCCCCGTTGAGCAGGCTTATATTATGCTACAAGGCCGACTCCCTGAAAGCTAAAATTACTAACAAGTCTTAATTGATGGCAAACCAAATAGCATCCAAATAATGCATATGCATCCAAATAATGCATATGCATCCCAATAATGCATGAAAGTACAACTGAACCTACATTGAACGTGACAACTATAATGGGTTGTAATATGAAGTGGCAGGGTGGAATAATTTCCACCAACAGGAGAAATAGGGGGCCTCCTTCCCTCTGCTAGCCTGTGGGAGATCCTTTGGCAAGATCGAGTACCCTCTTAGCCCCCCGGCCAGGGTTACGCTGAAGTCACGGCAGGCAGGTGATGGATGAACTGTTGAGCAGCCGAGCATCTGGGTGATTGGTCAACTTTTCAAGTGCACTAGGCAGAGGATACTTTAGGAACAGTACAATGGCTAGGGCAACCCGATCTGTATGATCACTGCTCCTATAGAAAGTAATAATTGCAACCTACTATAGGTATCCATTTGCAAAGAATACCATGGCAAGACAAACCAAAATTATGACAGATAACAGCGTGAATGGGATTACTAGAACTTCTAGAAACCCCTCGCTCGGTAGGGTAGGTCATGTTCGACAGGTGACTCCAGGTCGTCATCAAGCTACTGTCAGCGACAGAAAAACACGCAGAATCGGAACATGGAACGTTTAAACCATGTTACAGAAAGGAAAACTGGAGAACATCATACAAGAAATGAAAGAATGAAGATAAATATACTTGGTCTTTCAGAGGTTAGATGGAAAAGAGCAGGCAGTATAACATCAGATGAGTATAAGATTTTGTACTCAGGAGGTGATCATCATCAAAGAGGAGCAGGCATAATACTTGATGGAGAATCAAGGCCCTGAAACGTTTCTGGTGTGTAAATGATCGAGTCATCGTTCTCAAATTTAGTGGAAAGCCATTTGACATTGGAATTGTTCAGTGCTATGCCCCAACAGCAGACAAGGATATGACTGAAATTGAAATATTCTATGAAGATTTTGAAAAAGCAATGGAGCAGATGAATTCACAAGACATCAAGATTATAATGGGGGACTTTAATGCAAAGGTTGGGAGTGATAGAATAGACAGCACAGTGGGACCAATTGGTATAGGAAAACTAAATGAACACGGAGAAAAGCTTGTTGAGTGGTGCAAGGAAAATGATCTACTATAATGAATACATGGTTCAAAAATCATCCAAGAAAATGTTGAACATGGAAAATCCCGGAAAACAAAGCAAGAAATCAAATTGACTACATCCTGATGCAAGATCGGTATCGTAACTCCATAAAATCGTGCAAATCCATGCCAGGTGCAGACTGCGGCAGTGACCACATTCCTGTGGTGGGAACCATGACAGTCAAACTGAAAAAGCTGAAGAAGTCAAAGAAGGAACCCAAACTGCAATTGAACCTTCTAGAAAAAGAAGGAGAGCTGAGAAGTAAATATGCCATATATGTGAGGAACAAATTTGAAATTCTTGACAGTCTGACAACGGCTGAGGAAATATGGCAGAAAATGAAGGAAAGCATCCATGAAGCGGCTAAAGAGTACGTTCCTGTTACAGAGAAAAGAGCCAACAAGAAATGGATGACCCAAGAAATCTTGAATCATATAAAGGAAAGGAAAAAAATAAAAAAAAATGATGAAGAAAAGTATCAAGAAACGAACAGACTTGTGAAGAAAAAATGCAATGAAGCCAAAGAATAATGGATAAACACTCAGTGTATAGAGATTGAAAACAACAACACCGAAGACAGCAAATATATGCACCAGAAGATCAGAGAAGTAACAGGGGGAAGGCTCCAAAGGCGAAAACAGGATGTCTAAAATCTAAAGATGGGAAAATCCTGATGAATAAAAATGACATACTCGACAGGTGGTCTCATGAGTCAAATGACAAAGGTTCTTCTGCGGGTGCTCATTTAGAGAATGAGGGACAAAATACATCCAGAAATTTCTGAAACCCAGTTTGGTTTTGTAGCTGGAAAGGGCACTCAAAACGCAATTTTTACATTAAATATGCTCATGGAAAGATCTATACCTCCGCGTTATTCACTATTCAATGGCCTTCGAAAAAGTGAGACATGAGGATCTATTTGACATGCTGTCAGACCTGAATATTGACTCCAAAGATCTAAGAATCCTCAGAAACCTCTACTGGGAACAAATGGCGGCGATCAGGATGGAAAATGAACACAGCGTATACAGTTTACTTAAAAGAGGAGTGAGACAAGGCTGTGTGGTGTCACCAGATCTTTATAATCTATATAGTGAAATGATCCTAAGAAATATCTACGAACATGAGGAGGTAAAGGTAGGAGGCAACAACATCAACAACCTACGATATGCCGATGCTACGGTCCTCATCGCAGATTCTGAACAAAAACTTCAGACTCTTCTGACAACAGCAGCAGACAAAAGTGAAGAAAAGGGGTTGCAATTAAATGCAAAGAAAACAGAATGCATGGTCATCTCAAAACAATCCATTGTACCCAAGTGCAATATTACTTGCAATGGTGTGAAAATAAGACAATTTAAATGCTTCAAATATCTTGGATATACCATAACACAAAATGCAAAGAGTGACACCGAAATAAAGAAAAGAATTGCAATGTCCAAGGACACATTCAACAAGATGAGGTCTATATTCACAAGTAGGAATATCACAACTGACACCAAAATTAGCACCCTCAAAGAATATGTGTGGTCTGTGCTCTTATATGAAAGCTGGACATTGAGCAAAGGCGCAGAAAGGAGATTGGAAGCCGTTGAAATGTGGTTCCTTAGGAGGATCATGAACATATCATGGACAGAGAGAAAAACAAACTTGGAAGTCATGGCAATGATAGGATACAAATGATCTCTGATAAAAAAAACCATCAGAAAGAGACAAATGAAGTTCCTTGGACACATATGCAGGAAGAATGAATTAGAGAAACAAATGCTATGTGAAAAAATAGAAGGGAAGAGAAGCAGGGGACGGCAGAGGACTAAGTATATGATGGACAGCCTCAACAACTATGTCACAACGAACACCATAAGCCACACTGAGCTGATAAGGAGGACTGTCAACAGAGAGGTCTGGCGTGCTATTGTCGTCGATGTCTGCTCCAGACCTGACACTTGAAGAGAGAAATATGAAGTAATTGTTGTGGACACAGATTTTATTAGAAATAAATGTAGAAGAAATGGGTCTCCCATCGATATGCTGAAAAAAGTACGTACGCAAATTGTAAACTGGACAAAATTGATTACAAGGATGTTTCTGCCAAAGCACTTGGTGTACTTGATAGGCCTATGTATTTATGTAAATAATTACCGGTAATTTTAATTGACAATAAGATGGACTAAGTGTCCATAACAATTACTTGTATTACAACGCACTTATAGTTGTCATGTTCAATGTAGGTTTATTTGTACTTTTATGCATTATGTGGATGCTAATTTATTATACCACTTTTTTGACTTTTTTTTTTGTTGCTCATGTTGAAGTGACATAAACTTGACCACAGAAATTAGTGAAAATAACAAATGTTCACCTATAATTTGACGGAGAAAAATGATAGAAACCTCTAGTCACTGAAAGTGTTTATATGTTAATTTTACCAATATCCAGTATAAAAAAAACATGGTTTGAATTCAATAATTTCTATGCTCAAGTTAATAATCTGTATGTTAGTGCAAAATCATGTTAATTTTTTAAATTATTAATATTATTGCGTAGGTCATAATGCACATAGCGACGAAAAATGTAGCATGTACTGGAACTGTAAACACACTGTCGACGTCATGATTTTCGAAATGACTATAATACATTACCTTATTACGATTACGTTTATGAAAAGTTGTCTCCACATCACGCGATGATCTAAAGTAGTATTACCGAATGGTCAGTAAAAGGTTCATCAAACCCTAATTTAACTTATAACAGTTGAAAAATACATTACCTACTCAATCCTGCGAGAAACGTTGGTTAGTACAATTTATTTCTGTAGAACATTAGAATGCGCTAGATCACATCCCTATAATTCGTTGGAGCGCCACTAATAATTATGAAGATGTGTTGAATAGGTTTGTCGACACGGTTAATTATGAAAGCAATCGATGATGCTGTTACTCTTAATAACAAATCAGTTTGTTTTGTTCATCAATTGTAACTCAATATTACTTCGACAACATAAACAGTGGATCGATTTCCCGTTGTCCCTTTCCTGTGTAAAGAAACATGTTTTATATAACGATTCGTTGACAGATTATAAATTTGATCTTTCTTTCCATGTAGGCCTAACGGTGGTGGTAGTCGTGGTTCATACCTCATTCCCGTTACGATGCAAGGCCTATAAAGAAATAAAAAGTGTCTGTCTTCCTTTATTTACTGTACTGCTTTGTTGTACTCCGCAGAAACTTACACATTATACCGGGAACATATAAACAGCCCATGCACGTACTATAAACAATTTGTAATGAGAAATGAGGTAATACGCCGACTGCAAGGGGATGGCTATTTGTTTATAATATTAAGACCCTGGCTTTACCAGTGATCACACATTGTTTAAGATAACAACTTACTAAGCTCTACTGTTCACTACATTTTTTTTTAAATTTCTCATTAAGTTTAGTACCAAACATTGTGTGTTTGTTGATTGGCCAATTAAGTCTCAGCAACTTGTAGTTAAGTATCTGATGTATCACTTGCGCTGATTAAGTCCACAGGCAAAGAGTGGAAGAAATATTCGTGTTTAAAACATTATGTTCCAAAATAAGTTAACTTGACTTTTGTTTTTATCATTGTCATCACCTTCACCTCCACAACTATGTAGGCATAATAGTTAGGGCACCTGTTTTTTTTTTTCGAACTCGCAGAATCCGCTTCTTTAACGTTTAAAAATGTATTTATATATATATTTGCAGCGTTATTGCAAGATTTACTTATAAAAAGCATCTTTTCGGAGATCTCGACTTGTCGTGAATTGCTGATAAGAAGAGGGCGTATTATATTGATCTCAGTTAGAGTTCCAATATAGAGAGAGTTGCAACATGAGACGCTGCTGGGTAGCCATCTTGGAGGTGCCTTGCATGCATGAGTGACCACAAACCCTATGCTACAGTGTGGCGATTGCAAAAATAATAGCAAACAATTGAAAAAAATAAATAAAAATATTTAATAAGAAAATTTTATGTCATTTGATAGTAAATATCTATTAATCAACATGTGTTTGAAATTTATAACAGAATTCCGAAAGTAATTGATTCTCAATATGCTATTATTAATTATTATATTACATGCAGTTTTTGCTTGACCAAAATTGCATAGCGCCTTAGCTAGGCGTACAACATCGCGTTTGCTCGGCTCATAAAATGATAGGCGACAGGGCCTAGGCCTTTTCACTGGACAACTTAGAAATTCGTATAGTAAATGGGTGTTTGTGGCACGCCTCAGCTAGGGTCCCAGTCCGATGGTATCTCCAAAATAATATAATATTATTATCTTATATATATTATATTATATACATTATATTATTATAATATATATATATATTATAATAATAATAATTATTATTATTATTATTATATTATTATATATATTATATTATATTATATATATTATTATTATATAATAAGAGAAATCCGTAAGTCATACGGTAACTGAAAAAGTACTACGCTACTTTTATAGCTGGCTAGGTCTAGTCTATAGTACTACCTACCTACGTACTGTACTGCAGAGGCCTATTATAATACACTATTTAGATAATTTGTTCCCATCTTGTGGCAGAGGTCGAAACATTTTGTTCACTTATTAAAACTTATATAGTGGTGTAGAATAGTCTTTTAAGAACATTTCCAGAAAAAAAAATAATGTGACACGATTCTTCGTTACGGAGTCATGGATTTTTAAGTAACATGAGTTCAATAATTTTGGTCGAAGCTTATTTTTATTTTTGTTGTCTACGCGCCACTGACTTGATCAATGGGCACCAAGATGGTAGATAGAGTGCGGCCAGTAGTCACATGACCTGAACCGTTCATGTCGCAACTCTCTATATAAGAACTCTAATTTCAGTTATTTGCCATGCATCAAGTGCTGTCTAATACGCATGTGCATGAATGCAAAAGAATTAGGTACATCAATCAGAGTTGAATTCCAAACAAAGTCTCAATGACCTAGTTGGTTAAGGCGTCTGCATAGACAGCAGAAGGTTCCCGGTGCGATTCCCTGTTGGAACACCTATTTTTCGCACTCGCGGGTTCCTCTTCCTTAACGTTTGAAAATGTATGTATGTATATATATATA